ATTTTATTTGTCTACCTAATCTGGATTATGATTTAAATAGTTATAAATAAATACAATTACATATTTGATAAGATAAATGACATATGACAATTTTATTCATTGTTGATTTTTCCATAGACTGATTACACTGTACCTAAGTAAAGTTTGTGATAAAAACAGGAATTTCATATCGAGGACGACAGAAGGTTGAGGTGAGCAACAATCATCAATATTTTTTTTAAAAATCTAACAAGGGTTTTCAAGGACTTACATTTAAAGTAAGTTTAACTTATCCAATAAATTTTTGTATAATTTTATTGTTTTTATGGCTAGGTATTCCTTATTTTAGTAAAAMTATAATACTATTTAATTTTGAGAATTAGTTACAACGTTGGTATAAAAAATATGCGCGTTATTACATGAACTAGTTATCATTGATATTACATAATTATTGGTCCGGTTTTTTTTTTTTTTATATGACTAATTACAAATCTTATAATTTTGTAAAATAAAACATGTTATGAACCTATTTATTATAAAGCATAACATTTATATTCAATACATCAATATCATTATTTTAATAAAAATGTTAAAAAACACCTTATTCGTTTCCTTTAAGTTWAGTCAAAACAGAGTCTTTAAACGGAGTTTTTAATGTCAGCCACTATTTATTTTATCTCTCTCATCCATGCGCAATATTGAAAATTTACTTTAAGCAAAATAACCATGTGTTGTTAACTTTAATGTAAGGAAGAATTGACCTATTTTCAAACTTTTTTATGGAAACTYGTGGATCTTTGATGACATTTTAGTTGTAAAGTGTTAAGTGAGTTATAAATATAAACTTATTGGTATGTAAAATATAACAATTTTATTTTAAAATATCCATGGCTATTTAAAACTAATATATCAACAGAAGTCTATACAATTACACTTAGACTATGTTGATAATACATTAATAACTTTGTCAATTAACTGTAAAATTTTGAAGCTTTTAACAGAAAATAAAAATCTGACTAACGCAATTTTGTTAATATGTTGTACGTGGAAGTGGGTCTGAGATTGAAAACAAACAATCCGTTTTAAATATTAAGTTAAATGAATTAAATATAACTAAAATCAATATATCATAATATTATAAAGCGAATAAAATATTATGACATAATGATAGCAACTATTATAAAATATGAAATGTATACGAATCAAATCAAAGAATTCTTACATCGAAAATGTTTATGTTCGGATTTATGGTCGACTATTCGGTTAATGTATTAATCGAAAAAATAACAAAATAGTGCTTATAGACAACAAATTTAAGTATTGTTTGTGAATTTAATTCACCACTAGAGGAGAAAAAAATAATTTTCTTACATAAATCTTGTGCCAAGCTGGTAATAATGGATCATATTCTCTAGCCAGTGGGTCGGCATAGGAATATTGAGACGGCACATCAAGTTTGACATCAACGAGACAGTATTGGGCCTTAATAGGTTTAGCTACCTGCAGGCACTCGTCAAAGTCTCCTAACTGGAATCTGTTTCCAGATAACAGACCCACTGCTTGTTTCGCTGATGCATCCCACACTAGAACATAGAAAATAATAGTGTGATTAGATTTTTTTAGGGATTCTAARAAAACCTTTTATACATGCGTCATCATTTTCATTTGTCCGTTCCGACAATCTGTTTGTATAGTAACTCATTATCATGATGTTATATTTTAAATTAGTTTTATTTCGACTTGTTTTGTTACTAAATATAAATGTTAAACATTATTTATATAGGTTTTAAGTACATCTAAATCCGACCCCGAATTCGATAATGTTAAAAAAAATTGTCCACTTGTTCTACTAACTGAGTTCCTAAAAAATTAATAAAACACTGTTTTTTCTAAAGACAAATGGGTAATGCAAATAAAATAATATTACACTTTGATAAACCATATAAAATTAATTTTTTTTAGACCCAGAGTTTATGATTGGATTGGATGATTACATATAGGTACCTCTGGTAGGTTACCTAAACTACTATAAAATAATTATTTACAAAAATTTATTGAAATCAGAAAAAATAACATGCTTAAAAAGAGGTATTTTAATATTATTACAATTTTAAATATACTTGTAATAGCATCTAATGTTCTGAAAAATTAAAAAAAAAACATTTTAATAAAATTAAAATAATAGTACAATTTCTTATATACATGAATTATTTTAAGTTTCAGGTTAAAATTCAGAACTTATCTTTCTACTTATTCTATTAATATACAGAGTGTCACGCGAGGATTTACCCATTTCGATATCTACCAAAATAATGAAGATATCGAAATTATAGTTTTGTAATAAGACTCTTAGTGATACTACAATTATTTTTATTTTTATTAATTTTATTGTTTTGGTAAAAAAGATAAGAAATATATTTTTTGTTTGATTATTTCGAAAAAACTATATGAAACTATAACCATTTTGTAGAGTTTATTTTTCTTATAACATCGGCGTTTCAAAATTTTATTTTCATTAATTTTTTTTTTAGTTTCGAGAAACATCGTGAATTATTAAACACCATAGTGTTTAAAACATGTGACCCACCGCGCCGCGCGCTTTATCGTACGTCCCGCCGAACACTCTGTGTGCCTAGTTATAATCAACTTTTATTTCTTCAAAATCAGAAAAAAAAATTAAAAATCAGAAAAATAATGAAAATAAAATGTTGAGACGTCAATATTTTTCAGAAAAATATACTCTACAAAATGGTTATCTTTAATTTTTTCGAAAATAATCAAATGAAAAAATATAAATTTTTAAAACTTTTAAAATTATTTTTATAATTAATTTAAAAATTAAATAGGTAACTGTAGTAGTTCTTATCCGTGTGAGTCTTATTATAAAACGAGAATTTTTATGCCTCGATTATTTCGTGAGATATCGCAATGGGTAAATCTTCATGAGACACCCTATATATATTGTATACTAAATTTTAGTTAGATTAATTTATAATTTAAATAACCGCTGTGACTCGTGAATCATTTATACTTTTTTGTTTAGTTAACTCGCGGCAACATAGGTCATTGGATGTAGGGAGGGTACTATAGAGTCTTAAGTTGGGTTGGTTTTTGGCGGAATTTCTAATAGGCACCCGTAGGTTTCTGCCATGTCCGTTGTAGGGGGGGGGCAGTGGCCTCTCCCACCAGACAGAGAGACAGCGTGAACTACCCGAAAAGCGATACCACCCATGACCCAAATCGGCGACATCAGTTATATTATTATTATATGTATAATGCAAATAGTTCTACGTGAGGAATATCTAACAAAAATATTTTAAGTTCTATTTAAATATTTATAGCCTCAAAATTTTAAGCCAATGAAATATTTAATATTTATTAAATTAACATCATGATGATCATGGTGTAATTMCGTCTCATTTACGAACCCTTAAGGTACCAAATTGGGCGTTTAAAAGAACTTAATTTACTGTTATTTTTAATATTAGAATGAATTAATTCATTGTGTTAAATGTACTTAAATGTAAAAATAAACATATTATGTAGTGTGCGTAGAACACTTTTTATGATATTTTAATTTTGAAGCAAGTTATGAACGTTTTAAAATTTACAAAAAAAATAAAAAATACAATTACTATGTTATGCATTTTATTGTGTGGCGGCCGGCGGGTACAACATATACGGGTACGATGCCCTCTTAACGAGGTTGAGTAAATAGCGAATGGGTAAATACTAAGTGTGAGGTCGTGTGAATATTAATTATTATTATTATTGTACAATATTGGAGGTAAGTACTAGGTATGCAAATAATAAACAAATTCCAATCAGCTATACCAAATAGTATATCTCACGTCAACTGAGTCCTATGCAATCAAAAATAAAGCACTCATATAAACTGATAGCAGATCTATAATATTTTTATTATTAGGGCTAGAATTTTTATTAATTTAGAATATTTTTTTCATTTAACCAAATACATTGATTAATTATGTCCGCGATTTAGCTCATACTGAATTAAACAGAACAGTTTTTACTTTGCATATTTAGAGTTTATGTTTGTGAACATTTATTTAAAAAAAATTACTATAGAAATCGTATTTATCTAATGTAAATCTGTAATTATTGTTTATTTGTCGTAAATATATTATTTATAAACTATCATAGAAGGTTATTTATTAAATTTATATTGAATATAAGATAAGATTTTATCTGAACTTATATTGAATATAAGTTAATATTTTATCTCAACAGGCTTGTGGACACATGTTTGTCGTGTAAAATATACAAAATGTTAAATTTTGTACGTATTAAGTTCAATGTTAAGGTGGTAAATATGAAAATTTAAAAAATATTTAAACCAAATTTTCAAAACTAATTGTTAATTATTTAATTATAATATTCGCAATGAATTTTATATTAACTATTAAATAGTTCATTTAATTTAAAACTTATTTTATTTGAATATACCTATATTTTATTTTTTATTTTTATTTGACTTTAACTATAAAAATAGTACAATGATTTTATATGATAAAAAAAAAACACTATATGCGATGTGAAATTTTGGTAATTTTACTATAAATACAGATGAGGTCTAGTTGTCCCGCACAAAACAATTTTTGTTATATCGTATGATTTTGTAAGATAAAGAAAATACATGCATGTGCAGGGTTTAACGTCTCCTTAAGTAGTTGACAATCAGTTCTGAACATTTCATTTCAAAATTCCTCAAAAATATGTATTTTTTAACAATTTAACACTTTCACCTTGAACTTAAGGCATTCTTCAAAATTGCTTATATATATAGTATTATCCTAAATTTTAAGGTAAAATCTTATTTTTTATTCAATAATAAATGATTATGACCATTTATAAAAATTGAATTATGACAACTAAAATAATAATTACAGATTTTCTTTAGATTAATAAGCAAGGTTTCATAAATTATTTATTTAGTTTTCAATATTCAAAAACTAAATAAAATGTGAACATAAATGAAAAGCTGTGTATTTGGATAAATAAAAAAATATGGTAATGCATAAAAGTCCTAAGACTTTTACAGTTTAAAGAGTTCACAGAAACCTAATTAATTTAATATTTTTTTTTTTTAAATTATAAGAATATGGACTTTTGACAAACTTAAAATAATATCTTGAACATTTGATGTGCGTCCCAAAGTGATCCTGAATGCATTGCATATTTTGTGTAATAACATTAAGTACGTTTATAAACAATAAAAACCATCACTGTCAAATATTGATTTTGATCAACATTTTTTTGAATACATTTTTTTTAAATGTCCATAGCACATCAGCATCTTTTAAGTTTTTTCTTACGCTTAAAAATAAACTATAATGATAAATTCGAAAAACAAAGTGTAAAATAAATTCGATTTTCTACCAAAACAAAGAAGATAGATAGATATTTTAAAGTTTCAAAACACTCCATTTGATAAAAATAATTTACACAAAAAAATAATTAAAAAGTTTATAATCGTAAAACCATTTGATACAGTTCTCATCTTTCTCCGAATAAAAAGTGTGAGAGGAGGAATCATAATAATTATTATAAAGCAAACAATGTGGAGTGTTTAACAAAATTATGTTATTCGATTGTCTCAATAGAAACAAGCAGAATGCACTGTAAAGTTGCACACAAAGTTGATTCACATTTTTGATTGATTGGAAAAAAAAGTATTTTTAAATATTAAAACACATATGTTCGTTAACCAAATAATATTCTATGGAGACTTTATAAATGTGTGATTACTGATTACCATTACATTATTATAATTTGTGATCCGTTACCTACTGTACTAAAATTTAAATATTTTACAGAGTTGCGATTTTATGATTAAAAAAATTAAAATACATTAACGGGCAACGGCATACACAGTAATTTTAACACAGTAATACGTGTTATTCTTATTTTGCATATGATAACCTATATATTATACCTATTTTACGAATTCTACTGCAACATAGTCCTGAAGACACGTTAACATACTTACAAAACTGTCTTCATCAAATTTAATTAAAACATCCCTGAATGTATTAGACTATTAACAATAACTGAAGTTAGAACACACATTCCTTAAAAGAATTTAAAACATTGATAAATTGATATATTTAAACAACCATTTCCGTCGAGAAAATTATACGATACCTAATACCAGTTATAAGCTGGGCTTCGTATATATTATTTTAACCAAATTACCACGTTGCACGAAAACAGAAAGTCTATGAGTATCGAAACTATAGAGGAATTTCAACCCGTTCTCGACCAACGCAAATATCTAGTTGCTTAATAACTGTTTATTTCGGTAGTTATATATTTAGCCGTTATGGTACATTCGCTTTTAAGTCGATAACCGTATGTATATTTTTTACAGTAGTTAATTATTAAGGAACGAATTTGAATGCAAATATMATTTTATTTTTTTTTTATTTCCGAAAACAATGCTTTCCAAGCACATAACTGATCACTTCTACCTAAGAGAATTAAAAAATTGTAACTTTTATTTTGTGTTTTTCGTTTTTAAGACTTCATTTTTTAGAGCATTTTTTGACATTTTTGATCTTTA